ACATATCTGGTATTCTCACACTCTCTACATTCTATGCCACTTCCTACTCAAGGTAGTCCCACTTCATCTGCTGCAGTGGACTCCTAACTTCTCTCTGCATTTTTAATCTTGGGCCCTTCAATTCATCCTTCATAGATGAGCAAATTATAATCTCATAAACTACATTTCTCCTCTGAACTGTAGAAAGATTTCTCACTGCACTTGAAGTCAAATCCAAACTCATTCCCACAGTCTGTAGAGCTCTACATAACCTGGGTCCTGTGTATCTTCCTGACTTCCTCTGTCACTGTAATTCCGGGTCTACTGTGCTAAAGCCTCAAAGATGCACGTAACTGTACTGTTAGCTCTCTCTGGGACTCTTGTTTGTTTCCTTCATAGCACTTCTCATTTCCCACTGTTTTCCCCAGAACCCGGTATAAGGCCTAGGATACAAGATACACTCGTTCACTAACTGGATGATGAACAGATAAGCCAGTAACTAGAAACTCAATCCAGGTCTCCCTGATGGGTAGGTAAGCAGCATGAGCTCAATCACTTGAGCCATCACTTCAGCCTCCCTGGGTGTACATTAGCAGGGGGCTGGAGTCTGGAGTGGAGATGAGCAGTGAACCCAGGTACTTTGATATGGGGTACCAGCAACTTAACTGCTAGGCCAAATGCCCATCCAGAAAATGATTTTTCCATGCAAAGAAGGTAACTGCTAGAAGACATCATTAAATATCAAAATAACAGTTGGCTTCAATACCCAAATTCTTATTATGGTTTACATAGACAATGTAAACTGTTAGCAAAATTACAAAAAGTTTATAAGAATGGCCTACAAGAATGTCTCTTTTGGTTTAGAATACCACATAAGCATAAAATACTCACAATATAAAATGTACACTGAGATATTTACTTACTGACACTTTATTAATAATGAGTAAACAATAATTAGGTAGGCAGCAACAGGAAGGCATTCTTTCAAAAGAAGGTTGGGAAAGAGTTTTACCAATAGCTTGGGTGGCCACATAACGATAAAGATCATAATCATGGTTAACTGTATGTTGGACACTATTCTAAATATTTTACTTAAATCGACTCAAACTTAAATAAAGATATAATAAAGGTCCTGACTTCCCGGTCTAGGAGAAGACTGAGATAGCAATAGTAAGTAACTAAACCCAAGTAACAGAGCTGGAATTTGAACCTTGGCAATCAATCTAGCCTAACAGCCCTTGCACTTCATGCTATAGGCTTAGTTCTTCCAAATCATCTATAAAGACCGACATTATCATCAGAAAACCTCCAAAACGGGAAAACATCTGAACTACTGAAAACACTACATATTCAAGGAATAACAAACTCTTTAGCAATTATAGACTAGCCGGCATAGGATTACTCAACATACTGCCTTTGCTCAATTTAGATATGCCTGAAACTTTAAGTATCACCTTTTATCTGACACAGAAAAGTATCTCCTCTTCAAATTTCCTTGATTCTGCAAATCAAAGAGCACGTTATTTTTACATGGGCTTTATATAAGGGTTTACATAATACATGGCTTCTGCTCAGCAAGCTCTATTCAATGCTGCTTTGCCAGACAGAATAAGGAGTATCTTGAGGCAATATGCTCTTTAAAAGTTGACTCTTAAAAATATTTGCAAATCTTTCGGAAAGAAGATTGACAACTAACACAAGACACCATAACTAACTTAACAATGTTATATTTCCTGTGCTTTACGTGTTTGTCAGGATTCTCTAAATTAGAGTTCATTTTCACACTAAATGGAGAAATACACAAAGAGCCTATGGCCAAAAACGAGAATGCTACTAGAACCCAGCATGATCAATCATCTAGGAAAGAGACTAAACAGGTTTTGTGAAATCAGTGAAACTAAGAGTTCCAAACAAGACAAAGAATTAACTCTTCTAGAGTGGCTATTTATCCAGAATGAAAAATAACGAGAGAAAAGACTATAAATATCAGACACATAATATTATAGAATGTTAAAATCACAAATAGCTGGAGAATTTTTTTAGTCAGCGAAGTCAGCCACATTCATTTAGTAGAGACAGGTGCTGCAAGTATCCCGTTGTTTCCACTTGCCAGAAAGAAGATGCTTCAATTCCTGATAGTAAGAAGGCACAATTTCAGAATAACTGTTCTAAAGAATATAACAAATTGTCTTTCCCTACACCATCCCACAGCAAATCTCGCCAAGCACAGTTCGTGTTTTCCTACAACTTACAAAAGTAAACTAGTTAAAGAATAAGAATGCATGCATATGTATGTGTTTATGCCTTTGTGTATATGTATGTGTTGTCTTCATGTGTGCAAGTGTGTGTGTTTGTGTGTGTGTGTGTGTGTGTATTCCTTTAGCACATAAAGCAAAACATTTTCATGCAAACCAGGAAACACTACCAAACCATTATCAAGACACCTAGGGACAGTCTTAGCTGAACAGAAATAACATTTGTAAATTTCGTTCCAGTTCAGGTTCTGGCAGTTCTTAAGCCAGATGACTTCAGGCAAGCCACTTACTGATTGTCTCTGAGTCCTAGTTTTCTCCCCTATTAAAGAAGAACACTCTATAGTTCCTTCTAATTCTAAATATCGGTTTCAGTAAAATAAGGTTTCTTATTTAATATAAGTAAGACAGGGCTACTTCTAAGAAATCTTAGTTAACTATAATATGTAAGTGCCAAAACTTTCAGATTTTCTGCGCTTGGAAATTCTCACTAACGATATATCATAACCAAAAAAAAAAATCACTTAAACTTACAAATGCAAAACTGTACTCATTTTCCAGTTACCTACTTATTAACCACAGTGACTAATTCAGTGGATCACAGTATCAAACTATCCTTGGCTAGCTTCACTATGTTAAAAAGCAGGGCAAAGATCATTACAGTAAAGTCTAATAATATTTTCAGATTAAAAAAGCACACAATATAAAACATCAAATTTTGAAATGATTCAAAGTAACAGCATTCTGCCCTGACACATCACTAGCTCTCATAGTAAAATGACAGTATCATCATACTTTCATTTATATAGTGATTTCTAATTTACTATCTCAATCTAGTGTGACAGTCCTATGAAATAAAGCAAGGAGTACTTTTATCAACACAACCTAGATGAGTTCGGAATGTTTAGTCACCTGCCAGCCTTTACTCAGTAAGTACTGGCGCCCAGACTCCAATTTAGGTCTTGCAGGTTTGAGTCCCTGCTGCTCCACTTCCGACCCAGCTCTCTGCTAATGCACCCGGGAAGGCAGCGGAAGATGGCCCAAATCCTTGGGCCCCTGCACACACATGGGAGACCCGGAAGAAGCTCTTGGCTCCTGGCTTCGGATAGGCCCAGCCCCAGCCGTTGCGGCCATTTGGGGAGTGAACCAGCAAATGGAAGATTTCTCTCTCTCTAATTCTGCCTTTCAAATAAATAAATAAATCTTTAAAAAAAATCAGCGATTCAAGACAAAGGCAGAAAGAAGTTGGAAAAGTGAGAAAAATTGAGAAATCAGTCTCTGAATCATAATGGAATTGAACAAAAAGAATGTAAGATCAGATTTGGTGGTGGTTATACAACAATAAACAAATTTATCAGGTGTAAAACTAATGATACATTTGTCATTTCTAATTCCACATCTCAAAAATCTTGTCATTTCATTTCAAAGATGAGTGTGAAACAATTTTCTAACTAAGAAATAAGAATATGTAAATTAAATAAAATGATTAAACTAGCTATAGGTAAACTGCCAAAAGGCTTCAAATCACTTATTGAAGTATTTTAGAAACTTAGTTATATTCATATTTCCTTCTGGAACATGAGTTACAGGAATTAAACTATTAATCAATTGTATGCAAGTAGGTTATCTCTCAATAGGAAAAAAAGTGCTTTAAAATAATGTAGGCAAAGAAATAAAATATTTAAGACTTTAATTTAGAGTCATTTCACACCTACATCAACTGGTCACATTCATCTGGACACTAACATCTCCTTCCAAAGGTCAAGAAAAACACAATCTGGGGTGCGTCAAACGCTGCCTAGGATGAGAACAGTTTCTCTCTATCATCGTCTATGCTAAGCACTAATTTCAGACCTAATGAAAACACACTTAATAGGTAGCAGCAGCGGAGAATAGTACATTCTGTGTCCTTACAGCACTAGAAACACATACACAAGCTTCTCCAAATGACCAATGCAATCTCAACAAAACCCCCTGACAAGTCCCAGAGGAGATCGGGAAGACTCCGGGAACGTTTAGAACGAGGAGCAATGCTGACAGACGTGTGTGAACAGTGTCAGTCTATACAATATCGGATTTCTGCACGGAGTTGCAGGAAAATAAAAGATGACTGTCATTAAGTAACCTAGCAGTGTGACACTGGGCCACATAGGGCTTCTTAGAATTCCAGAGGCTGACATTAAGCCGACCTTCCATTTTCACCATAAATACCTCCACTGTAATGAAACGCAGAGGTCAGGGATAGGGTTTGGCACTGGGAGATTCGAGAAGCTCCTCTGCAAAGGTTCTCCGAAGTGAAGGCCCATTTATTTCTCTGACCACCATGGACCACCAGCGCCTGACATGGCCCTTGCACGCCTGAATTTTGTTTAGGAGCGGAGACATTTAGCATCACGCGCTAGTGGCCGGGGAGGGCAAGAATCAAACTGACAGATGGTGAGAAACAGCTCGGTCATCCGCAGGGAAGACCTTCTCCATTTACTACCAGACGCTGCAAGGGGTTCTTCCCAGAAGCCGAACACGGCTTCCGAGTGCGCAGAGAGGTGGGCAGTCTGGTGTCTGGCTTCAATGTCTCGGTGACCAACCAGGAGCGTTCCAAATAACCTGGCTACATTCAGCCTGAGACAGCCAGAGTCAGCACGCTGCTGGGAAGTCGAAATCAAGGTGCCCTAGATCTGCACGGCCTCCAGTGACAGCGTTCCGGAAGAGGCCACGCTCTGAGCACCGTCTCAGGCTCCCGTCCCCGGTTCCCCGCGTTCGTTTACCTACCCGCCCCGACCCCGGCTTCTCCGGATCCTGGAAGCGGCTCCTGACCGACTCTCACACCCGCCGCTGGGCTCCGGCCAACCGGAACTCGTCCGCGTCACTTCCGGTCCGGTCCCCCGCTACAGAGACGGCCTCCAAAAGAAAAACGTTCCTCCCTCTTTTCGGCAGCCTCGGCTGATCCTCGCGGGATTTCCATTGGGCTGTCAGTTCGGGTCCTGTGGGCGTGGCCACAGGGAGAATGACGGCTCGCTTCGCGGTCCTTGATCCGGAACTGGTTGTGCAGGAACCCAGGAAGTGGAAGCCCGCGCGAGTGAAGCGTGTTAGCTGCCCAGAAGGCAAGAACGGGAAGGCGCGAGTGAGGAGAGGTGCGCCAGGTAGGTCGGTTCCTCCTGAGGCGAGGAAGGCTGCCGTCCTCCATCCCCTCTCCCGTTGGAGAGCTTCCTCCCACCTCATCCTGCAACCGTCCTGCCCCGTGGGAAGATGCCGACGGCTGCAATGAATTTTTCTCCGCGGTATCACCGAGTTCCCGTCTGGAAAGCTGTTTAATCCTTGGGCATTGTACCGCAGACTCTTGTCCTGTAGCGGGTGTGAGTGATGGAGGAACTCTCCCGCGGAAAGAATTTCGATCCGACTCCGGGGGATGGTAGAGGCTGCTCGGACAGTTTTCATTTGCACTGGGCCCTTACGATGAATAGGAGTGTGTGTGTGTGTGTGTGTGTGTGCGCGCGCGCGCGCGCTGTAAACGAGAAAGAATAGAAAATATTTTCCGGGAGAGATTACTGCTTGAAAGAACTCGGTAGCTTGGTTTGGCTGGGTGTTACGGTATACAGCAGGAGAGGAAATTAAAAAGGATACTGTATACTCAGCAATGTATGTTTTACTCTGTTGGCGTTTAGCCAGTGATTTTTTTTGAGCAGGGAAACTCTATTTTGCAAGGACAATTATAATGGCAGGATGAAGTATGACAAAAGTAAAGCAAATGCGGGAAGGTTAGAGATAAGTTAATTTTGGAAAGTTTTGGCAAGAGGGCGCTGGTAAAAAGAGATAGGCTTCAGACATAAAGTCACCAGGATTTGGTGATTCGATGTGTGGTAGGACGCAGCAGGAAATGCGCAGAAATTAAGAATGCAGAAAGGGGGCCAGTGTTGCAGCCTAGTGAGTGGCAGAGGGTAAAGCCGCTGCCTGCCACACCTTCATCCGGTAAAGGTGCCCACTGGACTCCTGGCTGCTCCACTTCTGATCCAGCTCCCTGCTAATGCGCCCGGGAAAGCAGTGGAAGATGGCCCAGGTGTTTCGGAGAGTGCCACCCACAGGGGAGACTGGGTTGAAGCTCCTGCCTTCTGCCTGGCCCAGTGCTGCCTGTTGTGGCCATCTGGGCAGTGAACCAGCCGCTAAAAGGTGTCTGTCTGTCTCCCTCTTTCTCTGTAACTCTTTCAAATTAAGTAAATCTTTAAAGATAAGAAAATTTGCAATAGAAAGAACACTGTAGACCTGTAGGGGGTGAAATCCAGCAGAAGCTGGAGGCCTGGTGTGTAGCCAAGGAGAGGGTCCTACATACAGGATGATTTGTTCTGATAAACTGTTGTCTCCCATTAGAATGGTGGCTCCATTGTTTGTTTGTTTGTTTTCCCCTCTGTGCTCTATTTGGTGAATAGAGATTGGATTAGAAAGGCAGCACATCCCTGGCTTCCACCTGGCCCGGTGCTGGCTGTTGCAGCCATTTGGGGAGGGAACCAGCAGATGGAAGTTCTCTCTTTCTCTAACTGACTTTTTTTTTTTTTTTTTTTTTTTTTTTTTTTTTTTTAAGATTCATTCATTTATTTATTTGAAAGTCAGAGTTACAGAGAGAGAGAAGGAGAGGCAGAGAGAAAGAGAGTTCCTCTATCCGCTGGTTCACTCACCAGTTGGCCACAGTGGCTGGAGCTGATCCAAAACCAGGAGCCAGAAGCTTCTTCCAGGTCTCCCATGTGGGTGCAGGGGCCCAAGGATCTGGGCCATCTTCCACTGCTTTCCCAGGCCATAGCAGAGAGCTGGATAGGAAGTGGAGCAGCAGGGACTCGAACCGGCGCCCATATGGGATGTCAGAACTGCAGGTAGCGGCTTCACCCATTGTGCCACAGGGCCGGCCCCTGTAACTGACTTTCAAAGTAAATAAATCAATTTTTTGAAAAAGAAAGGGAGCATAGAGACCTGTGCTATCCACTAGAACTTTGTTCTGTTGAAAATGTTTTGTGTCTCGTTGATAGAAGGCCACTAGCCATGTTTCAGTTGTTGAACGAGGTAGAATTTGAAATGTGGCTAAGTACAACTGAAGAACTGAATTTTTATTTTGTTTTAATTACTGTTTATATAACCACAAGTGGTTTGTGGCTGTTGGATTGGACAGTACAGATAGACTGACTAGGGGGCCAAATATGTAAGCTCTTGTATTATATATGGGGTATCTGTAAAAATGTGGAAAATTAAAAGTGAAGTGTTTGGTGCATTTTTTTGAAATTCATGCATATGAGGGTTCTTCAGAAAGCTCATGAGAAATACTTATTTATGAAAAAACTATGCATGGATTTATTTATTTGAGAAGTAGATAAAGCTCCCATTTGCTAATTCACTGCTCAAATGCCTGCTACCGTTGGGGACCAGCATTGTAATCTACGTCTCCCCTGTGGGTGGCAAGCATTCAGTAACTTTAACTCTCTCTTCTGCTTCCCAGGGTCTGCATTGGTGGGAAACTGGAATCAGGAGCCAGAGCCAGGAATCAAACCCAGGTACTTTGATATGAGATGTGGCTGACTTGACTACTAGACTAAACATCTGCACCCAGCTGCTCTGTTTGATCCTCATTTTTCTCACCTGTTTCGTGAGGCAGTATCCTCCTTTTATGTTCATAGCAACAATCAATGAGGTAATGCTTGGGTCATCCTAAATAAAAATGGAGAGATTCTCCAAAAATGACTAAATTTATTCAATAACAAACATTACAATGGGAATGTGTGTGCTGTAGTAAAGTTATGTGTGGGTTCAGGGAGGTTAAGGCAAGGAAGTGTTTAGAGGCAAAATGAGGAGGAGGATTATATAAATTGTTTGAAACTCTAATCTTGGTTACAAGCATCAATACAAGGGTGATATCTGTCCAAGGTTGAACTGGCAATTGCTGACCAGATATCCTTGGGGAAGTATTTTGTGTGTAAGATTACAGTTCTGATAGAGTTGTATATGTTGGTTTTGTTACTAGGCATGAGATTCCCTCCTTCATAACCTGGCAGCATTCACTTGTTAGGGTTTGACTACTGTCACAGATGCAAAGGGTTTGCTATGTTATGATACCTAAGTCCTCTCAATGGAGCAGTTTCCTGTTCCAGATATTATCTGAATCTGGTATAAAGGTATTTGCTTACTTTGCAACCTAGAAATTGGCACGGAGAATCCTTCTACCAGTTGATATGGAGGTCCGTGGGTTTTTTCTAGAAATACTCAGAAACAGTCACGCACTGTATACAACATACTGCATATATGACTGTAGTCCTGTAAGAGTATAATGGAGGTGAAAAATTGCTGTCACTTAGTGACATCAAAGACACCCTAAGATGATAGTACAGTGCATTCCGTACTCGTGTGTTGTGTGACCCTGGTGTGAACACTGCACTGCCACGTGTTGTCACAGCATTTACTTCAGTCTCGCTCTCCTTTCTTCCTGCTTGACTTCTATATGACTTTCCTCCCAGCTTCCCAATCCAGGGACCTACCCCTGTCTAAAACTCATGGTGCAAGGTGCCCTTTTCTTTCTGTTCGAGTCCAGATCCTTCTCTAAGGCCTCCTGGCCCTGCGCTGCATGCCAACACTACCCTTTCTGTATCTGCGGCATCTACCTGCCTTCCCTTTGGTTCTTCTGGAACTGTCTCTCCTCACGTTCTCCTGGTCGTCTGCTTTCCTTGCCTGTAGAAAGTGGGCATTTAAGAAGGTAGTTCCAGACAGGATTGCAAATGCAGGAAGAGATGCCGAGGGTTTTTTGGTAGATGTTTCAGAAAGTGTTTAAAAAGTAAAGGAGGCCGGGTGCCGCGGCTCACTTGGCTAGTCCTCCGCCTGCGGTGCCGGCACACCGGGTTCTAGTCCCAGTCGGGGCGCCGGATTCTTTCCCAGTTGCCCCTTTCCAGGCCAGCTCTCTGCTGTGGCCCGGGAGTGCAGTGGAGGATGGCCCAAGTGCTTGGGCCCTGCACCCGCATGGGAGACTGGGAGGAAGCACCTGGCTCCTGGCTTCGGATCAGCGCAGCGCAGCGCGGCGGCCGTAGCGGCCACTTGGTGGGGTGAACCAATGGAAAAAGGAAGACCTTTCTCTCTGTGTCTCTCTCTAACTCTGCCTGTCAAAAAAACAAACAAACAAACAAACAAACAAACAAAAAAAAAAAGTAAAGGATTCTAACAGACCCATATAGTTACAGGTTTTATCACAGGAAGTAGCAATTTCAGGGGAATGGGTTTTGTGCCTACAAAAGCAGGGTTTGATTTTGAGATTGGAAGTGTGGAGGTTATGAGGTTTTTTCTTTTTGATTGACTGTACTTTGACATATCCAGCCTTCAAAAGTAGGACATTCGTGTAGCAGTATATCGTGTTAAATTATACTTTTTTAAATTTAAAGGTATTGTAAACATTCTGTTTATGGACATTGTTTTCTGTTCTTTGGAGATTGCATTTCAGTCATTGTTTTTAACTCCTGGTTCTACTTTGAGATGCAGAATCAGCCTTGACTTAGATGAAGGGTAAAGGGATTGTTGGTAAAGGGATTGTCTTTTTTCTGAATTAGACTAAGTCTTTTTTTTTTTTTTTTTTTTTTTTGACAGGAAGAGTGGACAGTGAGAGAGAGAGACAGAGAGAAAGGTCTTCCTTTTGCCGTTGGTTCACCCTCCAATGGCCGCCGCGGCCGGCGCGTTGCGGCCGGCGCACCGCGCTGATCCGATGGCAGGAGCCAGGAGCCAGGTGCTTTTCCTGGTCTCCCATGGGGTGCAGGGCCCAAGCACCTGGGCCATCCTCCACTGCACTCCCTGGCCACAGCAGAGGGCTGGCCTGGAAGAGGGGCAACCGGGACAGAATCCGGCGCCCCGACCGGGACTAGAACCCGGTGTGCCGGCGCCGCTAGGCGGAGGATTAGCCTAGTGAGCCGCGGCGCCGGCCTAGACTAAGTCTTTAGGTGCTAGAGATGTGTGGTTCTCAGCCCTATCAGATCCAAAGCACATTTTTATAACAAATCATTTATAATAAATGTAAAATATACATCCACTTTGGAAAATAGTTTGGCAGACTTTCAAAGCTAATAACAGTTATATGAGCCATCAGTTCTACTTGTGGATGTATGCCCAAGAAAAAAACAAACATATGTCTAACAAAAACTTGTACATAAATGTCCATAGCAGCATTGTTCATAATAGGCAAAATGTAGAAACAGCTCAAATGTCCATTTGCAGTCGAATGCATAAATAAAATGTGGTCTATCCATGCATTGAAATCCTCATCAGTAAGAGTAATGATGCATGCCACAAGATAGATGAATCCTAGAAATGTTATGCTAAATGAATGAACTCAAAATGCCACATTTTGGATGACTGCATTCATATAAATTGCCTAGAATTGATAAAGACACATAGCAGGTTGATGGCTATCACAGAGTGGGAAACGAGAAGTGACTGCTGATCAATAAGGGGTTACTTTTTGGGGCACTGAAAATATTCTGGAATTAGAAGTGGTGATGGTTATACAACCTTATGGATGTAATTAAAAACCACTTTAAAAGGGTGAATTTTATGATACATGAATTCTATTTTAGAAAGATTTAACATGAGCTGTACTGTCCTGAGATGATTTGATACTATTACTTTATCTACCATATAACTTCAAATATATTAATAGAAGATCCTATGTTTTACCTAGTAAAGAAGAAAAAGGAAATTAATGACAAAGAAGTATTTGCAGGAATGTCATCTGTGCCATGAAGATTGTAGCATTCCAAGGAGGCCACTTTGAGGCACCCCAAGTAGCACTGTGGCTCTGGGTAGATAAATGCTTGGCTACTGCTCCACTAGCAAAAGAACCCAACAGCCTCAAGTGTGGACTTGATACAGGTGGTTCACTGGTGACACAAATACTGTGAACAGCTTTGCTGGGGTAGTAGGATTTTCTAAGTGAAGGGTAAAGGATGATCTTCCTTTGTTTTATGTGACTGATATTTAAAAATCTAGTGTATGTTAAAACATACTTTGGGCTCCTATGCAAAATGCAGCAGGCGTAGGACAGTGGCAGCGGGGCATTTCCCTGTTCCCCAGCGAGCGGCAGTGAGGGACTGGTGCCATCAGAACTGCCGCCTCGTAAAAACACAGGGAAGTACTGGACTCCAGAAAGGGGACACACTGTTACGGTGATTTTTTGGATCCTTTAGGCATCTTTGTAAAACACATTTCCTTTGTCCCCAAGACTCAGGGAAGACTTGACAAAGTTATTGAGCCCCACAGGTGCTACTTCCCTCAGAATTCAGAATGACCCAATCTGCTTCTTGGGGATGCTTGAATTTTTCTAATACACCGGGGATGGGTGGTATCAGGGTACATGCTTAAAACCTACATGTATTTTGCCTTTCTTCTGGATGACCTCATATAGTTCTAAAATGTTGCTTGCTGTGTATAGACAAGGTGTTGATCTGATAAGCCCGTAACTTTTCATTCCCCCATAATGATAATGTTTTTTTTTCCTTTTCCTTAAGATGCTCTCCAAATCCTTGATTATGGAATATCTGGCTCATCCTAGTGCACTCAGCTTGGCTGCTGGGGTTGCTTGTGGCATGTGCCTGGGCTGGGGCCTGCGGGTACGCTTTGGGATGCTCCCCAAAAGCTTAACGAGCGAGACAGACACAGAGAGTGAAACAGAAGAAAGCATCTTGGGAGAGAGTGAGGAGTACAAAATGATCCTTGTGGTTCGAAATGACTTGAAGATGGGAAGAGGAAAAGTTGCTGCCCAGTGCTCCCATGCGGCCGTCTCTGCCTACAAGCAAATTCAAAGGAGAAACCCCGAGGTGCTCAGACAGTGGGAGTACTGTGGCCAGACCAAAGTGGTGGTGAAAGCGCCTGATGAAGAAACCCTGATTCAGTTACTAACCCATGCCAAAATGCTGGGACTCACTGTTAGTTTAATCCAAGATGCTGGGCGCACTCAGATTGAACCAGGCTCACGAACTGTCCTAGGAATTGGGCCAGGACCAGCAGATCTAATTGACCAAGTCACTGGTCACTTAAAACTTTACTAGGTGAACATTTATTACGAAGATGACTTCCCCAGGCAAGTGTTTGAAGCCTGTCAAATTCTAACAATAAAATCTCAGTTTCTTCCCCTAGTTGAAATACTTGGAGGTGAAAATAAAAGCCATTCCTTTGTTCTTGTATCATGTACTTGGCAGGTAGTTCTCTTCCTGGGCTAGGTTACATGGGTTTGGTGGCTCAGTAACAGGGGCTGGCACGAATACTTAAGATGAAAGCAGCCGTGCAGTATAAAATGGGATGAAAAGGGGGATTAAAACCAATTTTCCTCTCCATGGGTAGGTCTTTGGTCTTTGTGTGTTGCTTGCTCTTGCCTGAGACCACTGCTGTTGGTGTTGGGGGGATTCAAGTTCAAAAGCAGTCCCATGGGATTCACGCTGCAGTTTTCACACTGTCACTATTTGGATGATTGATAAGGTACTGAACTAAGTAGATCATGGTATAGCCATCCACAGTGGAGTCTCGTGGTTTATAATCTAACCTTTTTATTTATGTCTCAAAGTTGAAAGCTGAATTTTTTTTTAAAGATTTTTTTATTTGAAAGAGAGGTAGAGATCTTTCATTTGCTGGTAACTCACTAGATGGCTGCCAGGGGGCAGGCTGGAGCCAGATGCCAGGAGCTTCTTCCAGGTCTCCCATGTAGGTACCAGGGGCCCAAGCACCTGGGCCATCTTTTTCTGACCATTACCAGGGAGCTGGATGCAGTGGAGCCACCAGGTTTCGAACAGGTGCCCATATAAGATGCCAGGCAGGCGACAGCTGTACCCTCTAAATCACAACGCCAGGCAGGCCCCGAAGTTGAGGCATTGTTTTTCATGCTCATTTCCCCTGACCCACAGTGGGCAAAGTTTCCCTGAGATCATAGCCTACATAAATTCCATTACTCCTCTTTCCTCTAACAATGCAGCCGCTGAAACTTAGGGAGTGACCTTTTGGATGTTGAAGGTAGAAATGGGCCCATGTGAGAATCTGTGGTAACTAAAATGAACGTAAGTTGTTGTCATGTTCCTTTCCCTAGAATTCAAATAATAATTCAGTTATCTAAGGGCACCTTTTTTTCCCCTTTGACTTAGCTACAGACTGAAGCAGAAGATCCCAACTCTCAAATGCCAGGTTGCTTTCAAATGCTATTGCTAGAATCTTTTTTTTTTCTTGAATGCCTTCTTTTAGGATTCTGACGACAATTTTTAAATTCACTATATCCCCAGTAGCTGTAATTCTGTGTAACGTCATGTAATTCCATGGTTAACGTCAATATATGTAGTGTGACAGCTTCAGAGGGTGTAAGGTGGTGGAGTCTGAGCCAAAACCCAAGTCCTACTGCAGCCAGAGTTAAAATGTCTGATATTTGGTCTGTTTTACAGAGTTTGCACTGGCATAGGACAGCACACGAGAACTGTGAATGATGCCACAGTAGCAACTGTTTCTACACAGATGTTTACACTGGATCCACAAGTGATGCAACAACATGTAACTGAACCGAACTCAACTGTAAATGCATCATTCTGGCTCAGCTCAGTTCTGATGGCTCCAAATTCAAAGAGTTCATTCCCAACAGGATGGCCCAGGGTGGCTGACTCAAGGAATTGCAATAAAACGTGGTTTCTCTATTAGGATGATCATACAGTATTTCTAGTCATTCCGGAAATATATTCTGCGTATTTTCTACTTTACCTGTGCTTTGTAGGACTCAGTTTTATAGTTCTCAGAATACACTGAATGCCTCTCTGCAGGGTCAAAACTATTTTCCTACTACTAAAAATTTTTCTTGTTCCCTGTATTGACATTTGCACTGCTGGCCCCTCTCACATATAAAGCAGGGATACCTATGTGTATGATTAATTAACATTCATTACTCATGACTGTCATAAGATACTGTGTTAACACTAAACACTTCTATAGCAAACCAAAGGATGGCAGTTGTCTTACGGAAAAAGACTTGTGACTAAGCTGGGTTTTGTCTTGGAACTTTTTTAAAAAAAGGATTTTATTTATTTGAGAAGTAGAGTTACAGGGAGGAAAAGACAGAGAAAGGTCTTCCATCCTCTGGTTCACTCTCCAAATGGCCACAACAGCCATAGCTGGGATGATCTGAAGCCAAGGGCCAGGAGCTTCTTCCAGGTCTCCCACACAGGTGCAGGCTCCCAAGCATCTGGGCCATCTTCTGCTTTCCCAGGCTATAAGCAGAGCTGGATTGAAGAGGAGCAGCCTGAACTTGGTATGTTGCCCACATGGGATTCTGGCACTGCCAAGTGGAGGCTTATTCCACTACACCACTACACTGACCCCATGGAACATTTTTGAGAATCAGGGGCCAGTGTCGTGGCACAGTGGGTAAAGCCGCTGCCTGCAGTGCTGGCATCCCATGTGGGCACCGGTTCAAGTCCTGGCTGCTCCACTTCCTATCAAGCTCTCTGCTGTGGCCTGGGAAAGCAGCAGAGGATGGCCCAGGTCCTTGGGCCCATGTGGGAGACCCGGAAGAAGTTCCTGGCTTTGGGTTGGCTCAGCTCCGGCCATTGTCACCAACTAGGGAATGAACCAGTGGATGGAAGACCTCTCTACCTCTCCTCTAACTTTCAAATAAATATTTTTAAAAAATAAGAATCAACTGACAAATTCACACCTGGGTGTTTGGCAGACATTTCCTTATATATAAACTAAATGAGCCAGTCATTTCAAAGAAAACTATTGACAGTATTTTGGAAAACTTCATCTGTCTCTCCAAACTTCCCAAAACTGTTAAGATTTTTTGGTGAGATCAGTATTCTCACAAAGAAAAATGTAATAAAATGTACCACCTCTCTGCCTTTCAAATAGGAATGTTTAAAAGTTTTTTAAAGTATTAATATTTGAGGCTGGCACTATGGTATAGCTGGTAAAGCTGCTGCCTATGGCACCAGCTCCCTTATGGGTGCTGGTTTGAGTCCTGGCTGCTCCACTTCTGATTTGCTCCCTGCAAATGTGCCAGAGAAAGCAGTGGAGGATGGCCCAAGTCCTTGGGCCCCTGCACCCATGTAGGAGACCTAGAAGAAGCTCCTGGCTCCAGCCTGGCCCAGCCCCAGCTGTTGTGGCCACTTGGGGAGTGAACCAGTGGCTGAAGATCTGTCTCTCCCCCTGTATCTCTGCCTTAAGTCTTTGAAGTGTTAATATTTGGAAAAACCACATAAATCAGAAAATCCATTATTTTCCATGTAAGTAGTGCTTAAGTGTTAACATACAATGAGTTTACTGTGGATATAAATGGATTTTTTTTTTTTTTTGACAGAGTGGACAGTGAGAGAAACAGAAAGGCCTTCCTTTTCCGTTGGTTCACCCTCCAATGGCCGCTGTGGCCGGCGCTGTAGCCGGCACTGTAGCCAACACACCACGCTGATCCAAAGCTAGGAGCCAGGGGCTTCTCCTGGTCTCTCCCATGCGGGTGCAGGGCCCAAGGACTTGGGCCATCCCCCACTGTACTCCCAGGCCACAGCAGAGAGCTGGACTGGAAGAGGAGCAACCGGGACAGAATCCGGCGCCCCAACCGGATAGAGGGCGGAGGATTAGCCTAGTGAGCCGCGGCGCCGGCTAAACAGATTATTTTAAAAATTTAATTTCTAATCACAGCAAATATCAAGACATAAATGACAGAGTACAGCTCTTTGGGATCCAAAATAATTTAAGCATACTGAACCATTTATAGTGGAAATGTCTAATGTATTAATGGCCATGCCGAAGTACTATGGTACTTCCAAAGTTCAAGGAAATATGCAAGTAAAGTATGTTTATTCTGGTGCAAAAATATTTTGAAATCCAGTTTTTTCATAACATGCATTTTTCCCATGAACTCTCTGAATATTCCACGCAGGCACAGATATCAAATTTTCTGCATCAAAATGAACTTATCTTTTAATTCCATTTCCCATAAACTTGTTTTCAAGAGCCCTAGGAGTTGTCAAGGAGTATCAGGTTTTTTTTTTTTTGTTTTGTTTTGTTTTTTGTTTTTTTTTTTTTTTACAATGGCTTTGAGTACCAGGCAAGAAAACCATTGAAAGCTTTCTTTCCACTTAAATTTTCCATTAATGTCTTCTTGAGCTTCCAAGGACCAGTACTATTCTCCCTCTTGATTTTTCATGAAGAAAGCGAGCAGAGATCCAGGAACCTAAGTGCAGTAAGCCGTTTTCACAATGACAAGCCAACTAATAGTAAAAGTATGTGTACTATATGTGTATATACTTTCCTTTAGGAAGATGAGGGAGGGATAGAATTAAAAGTGGGAGAAGGGCCTGTGGGTTATTTTTTTAAAAAGATTTATTTATTTATTTGAAAGAGTCATACAGAGAAAGGAGGAGAGGCAGAAAGAGTGGTCTTCCATCTGCTGGTTTACTCCCCAATGGAGCTGTGTCAATCCGAAGCTGGGAGCCAGGAACTTCCCCTGGGTTTTCCACGTGGGTACAGGGGCCCAAAGACCCGGGCCATCCTTACTGCTTTCCCAGCCCACAGCAGAGAGCTGGATCAGAAGTAGAGCAGCTGAGACTCGAACTGGTGCCTATATGGGATGCCAGTGCTGCAGGTGGCAGCTTTACCCACTATGCCACAGCGCTAGCCCCCTAGGTTTTATAGTTTGAAAAACACCTTGATGGGGGCAGGTGTCCAGCAGTTGAGACGTCTGTGTCCCCATATTGGAGTGACTGGGTTCAATACCTGGCTCTGGCTCCTGACTCCTGACTCCACCTTTCTGCTCAAATATTTGGGTTCCTAACACCCATGTGGGAGACCTGGATTAAGTTCTCAGTTTCTGACTTCAGCCCAGTCCTGGTTGTTATGGCATTTGAGGAATGAACTAGGATAGGAAGTTTTTCCTCTCTCTTTTCTCTGCCTCTTAGATAAAATCAATTTAAAACACAAAAATACTCCTGTGGAGCTTATGGTAATTTGTCTAACAGAATTATAGAGCAATACAAAGCTAGATGAGGGTAGACTAATAAGGGTTAGGGATAATGAAATGAACTTAAAGTAACAATCTCACCTATAAGTTAAAGAGTTGGATTAAAAAAAAAACTATCCATATTATTGGCACTTTATAGTTCATGGTGAGAAACAGCATGTTAACTACATGTTTAAACATAACTTTATTTAGGTTAATAACACCCATGGTTTGTTCATTTAAGTGAAATGCTTTGATAGAAAGCTAAAAAGCCACTTGGTTAAAATGTCATTCGAGACAGAAAATGTAACCCACTGTAGTAGTGAATGGTTCTTCAGACAACTGCACGTGACACAATACATAATGTCTTCAAACTTCCCAATCTTCATTCCTCTGATGCCTCCCTATACTGCCTCAGTATCCAATAGGAAACTACCAAAACTATTACTTCTTTTGGTCTGAGAGTGCTTAATTAAAACTGCATTCTGCATGATATTTCCACAGTCCAGTAATTTATTTTAAATTGGAGTAATTTCAGATTCCACAAACAAAACTGGAGAACAGCAATATTTTGTTTGAATTCTCTCTTCTGTACACTCAGTGATCTAAAACACCACAATATCCAACATACACAAACCTCAGGGAGGGGTTAGTAAATACACACAAGATTGGAATCATGGTGCTCTTTGTTCCTGAATGGAATGGTCCCACAGAAAAAGCACAGGATACAGCACAACATAAGGGCACCTGTTACATATGTAGTGAGCAAAACACACTAGCATTTTCTATATGTGTAATGGGAAACCTGCATAGGTTAGAGGGCCTTTTACGCTCATTTAAAAATCAGGCAAGTTGTCTGTACGCATTTTTCAAATAATTTGGAGAGCACTGCAATCCAGTAAAGGATCTGCTGATTAGTGTTGTCTTTGTCGGCACTGACAGTCTTGCATGGTCATATACCAGTATTTTTGCGGTAGCTTTTCTTTGAATAAAAGATTTAAATGCATTTAGACAATACATATTGTAAGCTGTTTACATACACTAAATTTAAGAGATTCAGCATTAGAGTTTCTTTGCTTCTTTAAACACTACAGAGTGCAAATCAGGTTCTTCACAACAGATTGAATATTAAGCAGTTCTTGAAAGAATGAGGGTGGCAAAAAAACCCCAAGTGAATAAAACATTGAAACTATTCCCCTTCGAAAATAAATTCTAAAATGATGTGGAATGTGAGATAAGGTTTTAACATAGGTGACCCCAGTTTATAGTTAGAAACAAAAAGTAGTCCTTCATGAAATAAAGGTTACAAAGAACACGCTGCCTGGTTCCCCCCATTATAAACTGAGAAGTGGGTAAATGATGTTTCAGTACGAAAATAGGTGACTACAGGATCAGCTTTCCATCTCACATGCTGTACCCAAAGCCAGGCTGAGGCTGCCCATAGGGTGGTGCAGTATAACCATAACCAAAAGGTGCCTGGGGAGGAACTGCAACACTGGGTCCTGCTGTCAGCATCAGTTGGGGCTGACCTAAAGAGAGAAAAAGCAAAGGGACAGGGGGAAGCAGGGATATGGTAAACTGTTAGCATAGTAAGTCTGTATCATTCCCATCTCCCCCACTAGCAACATAATCACAGCTTACAGGTGGAGACACCTGACCATCACAATGTCACCCTCAGAAGAGTCCTACCTAAAATGCCAGCAAATACAA